CTCCTCCAATTTTTCTCCTTCTCTCTTGCTCCCCTCCTTCTTCTTTAAACACCTTGTGAGCCAAACAAAACATGGGTAAAGGCCCCCATAACATCTCTAGTCTATAGGGGAAATGGGTAGACCAGGTCACAGGATATTAAACGATGATTCTTGTGAAAGAAAAGACCCCCTCTGTTCCCTCTCCACATGAGCAGGGTCTGCAGATGGTTCATTAGCTTGACAGAAGTCAGAGCAGGGATTCACAGGCTTGGTGAGTTGCTGGCAGTGAAGCAAGCAGACTCTAGGCAGCTGACCAGCAGCTCTGTGGGTGCTGCAGATCCGTTCTGCTCCCTTCTTTTTGAGGGACTCACATTGATACCCATGGGAAAGAGGTGGCATGAGTGGCAGCGGGTGTAAGTGATGGGCTCCCTGGAGGCCCAGGAGCAAGAGTGGGCAGGAACAGAGTCCAGAGGTCCACATGAGGAGTGTCCAGGAAGGGTGTGAAGAGGCTACGGGAGTCTCTGTCCCTATAAGGGAAGGACTTCTGAGGATGAGGAGGGGAGCTTTGGGTTTAGGATTGGGGGCAGAATGTAGAGAGACTGACAGGTCAGCTGGGTTTTATTATGGAACTGCTCTAGCATCTGAAAATGCTAACTTAGCCTTTGGGTTTGGTTTCAAAACTCAAAACTGTATCTTACATTTCCAGCTGTGTGGTAAAAAGTAAGTTATGGCACACTCATGTGATTGAAGAATATGCAGTCATTAAAATGAGGCTTACAAAAATAAGTTCATAGTACTGTGAAAAATGTTTGGTGTGTAAGTGGGGAGAAGGATGTACCTACACATGGCATAATATCAACTATGTTACACACAGGGCAAGCGCTGAGGGAAAGCCGACAGTACATCAGTCTGGAACTCTGTAACAGACACCAGCCACAGCTGCAACAAGCATACTTCCTGTGAACTTTCGCATCAGGTTATGAGACACACAAATGCTTGGTTAACCCTTCCTTGTACAGTGGCGGGAAAGCACTTTCATTTGACGGTCTTCAGTGCTCAGCTTGCTCGGACTTCTTTTGGCTCAGAGGAAGTCACTGTATTTCTCAATTATCTCACAGGGGAACAAGAAAGCAAGAAGTGGGAGAAGGGAAAACAGGATTTCTTTTTCTTTTTTTCAGACATGGTCTTGATACATAGTTCAGGCTGGCCTTGAACTATTTAGCCCAGGCTGGCCTCAAACTTGTGGCAATCCTCCTGACTCAGCCTCCCAAGTGCTGGGATTACAGGTGTGCACCACCATACCTGCCAAAACAGGATTTAATAGTGATTACTTTGGGATATCATGAAGCTACTTGATCACCCTGCTGTGTCACCTCCTCTAACTTCTGCTGGGGAGCAGGGATGAGGTTGTGTGGGTGAAAAAGCCAGAATGTGACTCATCAGCAACTCCCCCTTATTTTTCTTAACTGCATAAAAAAAGAAGTAATTGCAGGAGTGGAATGGTGGAGTGGGTGACATTCTGGAAATCTACAAAAGGAGGGGTGGGGCAAAGACATCTGTCTACTGCTGGTTGGCCCCAGTTAAAATCTGGTGAAAATGAACTAGCTAGATTTTTTATCTTCAAGAAAATGTAAAGACTAATTCTATCATATTTTGAAGTCTGCAGAGATGGGTCTGCAGTCAAGAGCTACTCTGGTTAGTATTTCTTCCCCATTGCTCTCCCATCCTGTCAGAGACTCCATTTCTTCTTGTGTTGGACATGATTTACATGTCTTTATATCATCTTAGAGTACTATTCACTCTTCTCTTCTCTCAAAAGTTCAAAATTATTTTAGGTATTTGTTTGCCATTCTTGTGCTAGAAACAGAGAAGCTAAGCAAAAGAGGCTGAGCTGGATCTCCCTGAAAAGAGGTCAAGGACAGCAGCCTGACGGCTGGTTCTCAGCACCTGGAAGCATCCCTGAGGTTAGGGTGAACTGCTCCCATGGGGGGCTCTGGCTTCTTCCCACTCCCATAAGCCTGGCTTTCTTTACAGGGCAGCTGCCTTCCAAAGGAGAGGAGAGGCATTGGCTAAAGGGAGGCCCACGTAAAAGATTTCGTTATAAAATTCGAAGTAACTTTGTAACTCAGTTCTGTCAGTAAGCTGGGGGACAGCCAGAATGTCCTTCCTTTCAGGACTCTGTAGTGTTCCTGGGAATCAAATGACAATGTAACTACTGGGGTAGTGGTACTGTCTCTCAATTACGTAAATTATGGATTATTTTTATTTATTATTTTTTGGTACTGGGGATTGAATTTAGGACCCCGCACTTGCCAGGCAGGTACTATGCTGCTGATCTAAATCCCTGGCACAAAATTGTGGATTTTAAAAAGATCTATTGTTACCTAAAAAGTAATATATACTAAGTCTGGGTCAAGGCTTTAACATTTTTTTTTTGAACATTTTTTAAGATAAACTCTAGCAAAAATCTTTAAAATTCTGTCAAAAAAAAAAAAATCTCAAACCTGAAACTAAGAGACTTCAAAATATGATAGAATTAGGCTTTACATTTTCTGGAAGGTAAAAAGTCTTGCTAGTTCACTTTCACCTAATCCTAAAACCAGAAATTACCTATACATGTGACCAACACTGCACACTACAAAGCTTTGCACATACTGAGTGTGGTTTTAACTGTGTGGTTAAGCATATTAAAGAGTACACATGCCTCTAAGGAAAATCACGCATCTAGAGCCATGGACAAATTCCAGTAATATGCTCTGAGGCTGGGATGAAATGAAAAGGCCTGTGTGCTTTCAGATGGTGACGGAGTAATTCATTTCCTACCTGAGCACTGACTTTAATGTCTTAGCACCCTACTTACTCCTTGAAAGTGGCAATGGTAATACTGGAGACCAGCAAAATCACATGAGCTGCCTGTGAGACAATAGCACTGTTGGCAGCCTGATCCTCTTTTTGCGTAGCAAGTGGGAGCTCAGCATTTCTCCTAAGGAGGGCAACGCCAGTCTACAGGAAAAGCCAGGGACAGAAGGAGCACAGGTTAAGGGCATAAAGGCACCAGACCTACTTGGCTTAAATCTGGTTGAATTATATCTTTGAATACAGTATATAAATGAGCTGTCACAATATTAAGTTCCAATCTGTTATAAATAGCAGGCAGGTGTACACTGTCCATTTTGAAGAGTTGGATTATAATCTCTGGGGCCACAGCTACAAAGCTGAGTTTGGTAGAAGTTCTGTTTATACTGAGAGTTCCTAATATTACCACTTTATTTACATGGACTTGGTAGTAAGTAATGTTAATAAAAGTACTACTGAGCCACTCTCACCATTCCCACTTTACGGGGATAGTGCTATGGTGAGGACCTATGCTCAGGGTCTGCTCTTCAGTGCTGGCTGTTTCAGCCTCAAGGAAGAAAGCCAGGGGTTATGAGTTCTGTGGAGAACCTACTAAGGGCTCCTCAGCTGATCAGAAGACGCACTGTCTCCAATTCAATGGTTGCTTTTTGAATTCTTCTAGGTAGGAATCCTGCAGAAGGGACAGGAGAGTGCAGTCTAGGCCATAAAATATCGCAATTTTGTCCAGCCTTATCTTGAACCTTTGAAAATTTTGTCACAAAAATCCTGGAAAAGAGGGATTATCAAGCTTGCAATACTGATGAAAACCCAGAGTAAGCAACTTGGCCATGCCATACAGGCGACTTGTAACAGAACTAGGATGTGACTACTGATCAGTGTCCAAACATCACACTTTTCTCTGTATCATACTTTTAAAGTAGTGTTATCACACTTCAGTCAGATACACCTATAAAACATGTTAATGAAGCTAGATGGCATGTTCATATATATATACATGAAGAGATCACATTTGCATGTGAAAAATGCCTTAACTTTCCTAGCTACAGCTGATTTATCCTAATCATTAAGTGCTTTTTGATAGATACTTATACAACTCAAATGCTATTTGTTCCCTAGAGCTGAGTGGCTTTTAAGCTTACTGATTCTAATAACAGTTAAATAAAAGGTAATGATCATCTAAGTAAATGTCTTCACATGTAGACATCTTCACCTTGTATGTTCAGTGGAGTTGGATAAGGTCCATAATGATACCAAAGAGCATTTTAAACAAAATTCTTCACATGCAGTCTTCTTCAGATCACTTCACACTAAAGCTTGCACACAAAGTGGCAACATATTTCATTCATGAGTAAATCATTGTAAAACTGAGGTCTTGTTCCACATCTCCATCTTATCACAGTATGCTCAAAGTCTGATCAAGCAAAATACTGAATTCTGGGCCCATGTTTTGTCACTTTCTCTGAGAGCACAGCAATGTGCTACTCTGGGCAGGTGGTCAGCAAGGTTCCAAGATGCAAGTGGAACTGAGGGAAGGGGATTTATTACACCTCATTCATGTCTCTTCCTCCCAACTCAGGGACAGTGAGAGCTTCACTCTGCTGCTTGCTCCTCCTGTCTCCCTTAAAATGTACTCATCATGGGTAGCAAATTAATTTAATTGTGGCTTCTAGAAATAAGATGTGGTAGTAGCGGTACATGATAATGGGCAGTGTGGCTGTATTCTACTAGCTGCCATGCTTAGCAGTGCCCCACCTCATCTGGTGACCCTGACACCTTAAGGGCACTGCCTTCTGATCCTCCTGTAGACTGAACTTGGTTTTACTGAAAATGGGAGCTCCTAGCATATCAACGAACTGACCGCTGGCAGCTGGCCGAGATGATGACTTCTTCAAATCTATGATTTAAGGATATTTTGGTTGTAAAGATTTTTGTTTAATGTGAAAGTATAGACCCACTATTAAGCAAATATTTATCGGAAGCCACAGACTATCTAAAATCTCAAATTCTCTTATCAATTAGTCTATCTGGAAGTAGTTCAAGCAATCTGGAAATTTCATGGAAGTAAGAATTCATTCATTCACTCAACACATATGGAGCACCAACAATGATCTGTTCAAGGAGCTGGAAATACAGATGAAACACAAAAAGAAATCAGTTGATGCCACTATAGTTTGATATACTATTTATTAAGTTATTAATATGGACAGTCTATTCAGCAACATTACAGATGTCTTTCAAAACCTAACAAAATATAGTCCACTATCCAGCCCAGGAAAAAGACAATAAAATAACTCTCACAGTAAGTTTCGCATAAGCACTCACAATAGCCCCTTATTCGGGCATCAAAGGAAACAGTCAAAAGACTGGGTTTTAACTGTCTTCATTTATGCGTTTAAGAGTCAAAACTCCAACTCAGATCACCTCATGACAGGGTGTGTGGGATCTCACACCGGAGAGGAAAGGGCTCTGATGCCTCCTTGGTGGCCCATTCTACTCCTCTTCAGTCCTTCTGGAACACAGCCCTCCCTGCCTGCTAGGCTAGTAGTGGTCAAACTTGGGTACTGGAGTGAACTCAAGTGGGTCCCAGGGATGTTTGATAAATTCACAAAGACTGTGTTCAAAGCTCTAAAAATCCATTTTGTGGTGGTAGTGGCAGTGAAGGGTACACTGTATTTGGCCAAGGGGGCTCTTCTCATCTTGAATCTTGGCTTTCTTCTAGACTATAAGATTAGCACAGTTCTCAGTGGGAGTGTGGGTGAGAAACTCCAACAGTGATTGGTACAAGGCTCTCTGCAGAATGTACTGGACTGGCTACTATGGCTTTTAGAACCTGCCTTCCCTTCTTTAGTACTGGCAAGCTTATTTCTTCATCTTTCCTCCTATGTCCTACTAATGTAAGATGTAGACTATGAAAGATGAAATTTCTTGCTTTCAATCTGAATGATAAAAACAAAAAATTCATTTCCCAATGAACAATACTCAGTTAAAAATAAATGCCAAGGGCTGGGGATTTAGCTCTGTGGTTCTGCTGCCTGCCTCGCAAGCAAAAGGTACTGAGTTCAATCCTTGGAACAAAAAGAAAAGCCAAATGACTTTTAAAGACAAGTGCCGGACAATGCTGATTAACAGAGAGAGGAAGTTCTGAGGTGAAATTACACATATATCAGAATCTAAAATATAGGGAAAACCCCAAATGCTATAGCGTGATAGGGATTCTTTAACCCCTTTAGTTCTAATCACACTGAAAACTACAAATGTTTTCAACATTGGGCTACTGATGACCTGTCAATTAAATATAGAATCAGAAACCTCATGAAGTCTTGCCAAGTTTGTGGCAGTTTCAATAGTTTGTATACTTAGGAAAAAAGGGGAACAATAGGGTAAAGAGTGGGAGCAATGGAATTTCATTCAATGCTAGGTACCATGGGATTGATATTAGTAGGCAAGACTAATGAATGAGCAGCCATAGATTTTCTGGTCACTGTGCTTTCCAAGCACCAAAAATGGAGCTACTTTTACTATTCAACTTCACCTAGACAGATAGCTTCTGCTGCATTGTTTCAATTTACCAGTACATTATTAAGTAGTTTACCATATGTGAGGAGGAAATCATTATGTAGTATCAAGTTTACATCATCATAGGACTACAACATGCACATTCTACTTAATGTAACTCAAGCAACAGGAATACAAGAGAACAGTTATGGGTAGAGACTTGTTTGGACAGTTGTGTTCACACTAACTATGGGTTCAGAAATCTTATTAGGCAGGTACCTATAGCAGTTCTTCAGTTGATATTAGAACATTACACGCATGCACAAGTGATGTGGTAGAGAATGGAGTTGAAGAGGCAGCTGGATGGAGGACAGCAAGGAGTCAGAGTTGGGAAGAGCTGTGTGTCAGGAAGGGCAGTTCTCAGCTTTCCACTGTAAGTCTCTGCTCTGTGAGAGAGGCCTGTTGGGCAACGCTTTTGTTCTCATGACTGCGAAGTTTGGATACAACATCTAGAAAGGCCAAATCCTGAACTTCTTTGTGTAGAGATTCTGGAAGACAGACACAAGATAACAAGTTTATGTTAGGAAGTTCTAATCTTACTGTATTATCTACCTAAAACAAACCCAAAATGTGTCTTTTGATGATATGGAGGTATAAAACTAGGAACAATTCTAGAAAAAGTCATAGCAGTAGCACAATAATATCTTCATAAAAAATGTAATATATCAGAGAAAATTATACTTAATTTAAAAAAGATAAAATAAGTTCTACAGTCTAAGGTTTACTCAGGTAATTGGCTATGATTACATGCAGCTCACTGTATAATTTCAAGGTTCAATAATACACAACTTAACCCTATCCCCAGTTCAAACATCTAGTCTAATCATTTACTGCAAAATTTTTAAGATCTATTTCAAATTAATTTTGTGGAAAATGAGACAAATTTCTGTGATACTGGGCTCCCTTTCAGATTTCCTATCCTCTTCTTTTGCACTTTCTTGCTCCATTTAACCTTAATTATAGGAAAATATAGGATTCCTGCTAAGATTCTAAGAAACTATTACAAATAATGAGGCCCAATAGTTTAATCTAATATTTAATCAGCACAGCTCAAACTGACATGTTTATTTGGAAGTGAATGACACCTAAAACTGAACATTTTTAGTAGAAGGAGAAAAATTCATCCTTAAATTCATACGGAATCTCAAAGGACTCCAAATCTACAAAACAACATTGAATAAGAATAAAATTGTAGGTCTCTTGTAAGTCTTTATCTACTATAAAGCTGCAATAATCAAAAGAATGTAGCACTGGCATAAAAACAGACATACAGACCAATAAGGAGCCCAGAAATCAATCCTCACATTTGTGGCTGAAGATTTCAATGAAGGTACTCAGACCAATAAAAGTAGAAAGGACTAACTTTTCAACAAATCGTGTTGAGGAAACTGAATATGCATATGCAAGAAAATTAAACTGCACTCTTACCTTACACTATATACCAAAATAAATTCAAACTTCATGACAGTAGATTTAGCAATGATTTCTTGGGTATGACACCAAACGTATAAGCAACAAAAGAAAAAATGGATTTCATCAAAATAAAAACTGTGCATTAAAGAACATTAACAGAGTAACCAAAAAACCCCACAAAAAACTGAATTTAAAAAATGGGCAAATGATTTGAGTGTACATTTTTCCATAAAAAGATTTATAAATGAGTGAGCACATGAAAAGGTCCCCAATATTGCTAATCAAAATAAAATATGAATAAAAATAATAGTAAAATACTATCCCACATGCATTTATTTAGATTATCAGAAAACAAAAGTAAGCAACAAGTGGTGGTGAGGATGCTGAGAAACTGGAACCCATGTGCAATACTGGTGGAAATGTTACATGACTCAGCCACTGTATGGCAGTTCCTTAAAAAATTAAATACAAATCACTACATGATCCAGTAATTCCACTTCTGGGTATATAAACAAAAGAAAACGAAAGCATGGACTTGAAGAGAGATTTTTATACCAATGTTCACAGCAGCATTATTCATAAGTAAGCCAAAAAGGTGTAAACAACCCAAATGTCCATGAGCAAAATGTGATATACCCATACAATGAAATACTAAGCCTTAAAAAAGAAATGAAATTCTGACATGTGCTACACTACTCATGAGACTTAAATATATGTGCTGAGTGCAATAAGCCAAATACAGAAGGACAACTATTTTATTTCACTTACATGAAGTGCCTAGAACAGTTAAAATTCATAGAGACAGAAAACAGAGTTGTGGCAGCCAAGAGGTGGGGTAGGGATAAATAAATGGGAAGTTATTGCTCAATGGACAGAGTTTGGGAAGATAAAAAAGGTCTGGTGAATACGGTAGTGATGGTCGCATAGCAACATGATGTACTTAATGCCACTGCTGCACACCTAAAAATGGTTAAAATAGCAGATGCCATATTTCGTGTATTTTGACTGCAATTAAAAAGTGCTTCAACAAACAACTAAGGCCATGCTGAAAACAAATGAAAAAACTAGAAAGTCTCAGCAAGGAAACAAGGAAGAAGCAAATGGAAATCTTAGAACTCAAACAATAATTACTTTACAATGATAACTAAAATAAACTCAACAGGTTCAACATTGGAATGGAGGGGACAGAGGAAATAATCAGTGAGCTTTAAGATAGAACAACAGAAACTATTCTGAACAACAGAGAAAAAAATAAATTAGGGAGAGGAAAAAAAAAAGGTAAAGCCTGCAGGATCTGCAGGACTACGGCCGGAGAGCTCACGTTTGTGTCATCAGAGACCTAGTATGAGATGAGAAATGGGCTGGACTAGAAAGCAGCTGAAGAAAGAATGGCTAAAAACTTCCCAATCTATAGATTCAAGAATCTGGGAAAACTTCAAACACGGTTTCTGTCCCTCGTCAAAAACTAGGGCACATTGCAGTCAAACTTCTGAGAATTAATGATGAAGATAAAAGTCTGGAGAGACAGAAATGGTATGTTACCCTCTGGGGGGAAAATAACAAATAGGAACACAGTGGACTTCTCATCAAAAACTATGGATACCAGAAAAGGACAGAGGAAAATGGCACAACATTTTTTCAAGAACAGAAAGTACAGAACTGTGAACCCAGAATCCTATTCAGGGAAAATATTTTTCAGGAGTGAAGCAAAATATGACATTCTCAAAGGAGGGAAAACTAAGAGAATGTGTAGCTAACACACCCCAAATAATGGGAATTCTCTAAATAGGTAAGGAATGATTTTAAATAGTGAAAACAAAAAACTAATTTTAAAAGTGGGTAAATACAGTACTTTTCTTAAAGAGTATTTTAAATTCTGATAGGTGAAACAAAAATTATAACACTGTCTAATTTAGTTTTAAATATAGAAGAAATATTTGAGACCATATAAATATCAGTCAGTAAATGGAGTAAAAACCTTCAAGCAACCCACAGAAAAAAAAAGAAAACAGAGAAACAAGAATAGACTAGAAAACAAAAACAAAACTGGCCTAAGTCATAACATTATCATTACATTAAATGTAAATGGTCTAAAAACATCAAATAAATGGCCTCGGTACAGTAGATTATAAAACATGACTCTATTATATACTGTCTATGAGACACTTCAACTCTAACTATATAGTGTTGAAACTAAAGAGTGGAAAAAGAATGTAAATGGTCTTCAGAAGAAAGGAGTAGCTATATGTTTTGGACCAGGGATTGAACTCAGGACTTTGTGCTTGTGAGGCAGACGGCGGAACCACTGAGCTAAATCCCTGGCCCTTAGGAGTCATGTTAATGTCAGATAAAGTAGACTTCAGAGCAAGGAAAATAATCAGAGACAAAGGATATTATAGGAGGGTTAAAATCCACCAAGAAGGCACAGCAATCCTAATGCTGCATGTACCTAACAACAGACTGGAAAAATATGTGAAGAAAAAAACATGGAAATAAGGAAAAAAACACAAATCTGTAATTATAGCTGGAGACTACAACACCCCTCTTCTTTTCAACAGACAGTCAGAAAACCAGCGAAATTATAGCAAGCTTGATACCACTCCCAACCAACAGAGTCTAGTAGGCATTATAATACAGCACTTTATGCAACAGCAAATAAAATCTTATATAAAGTTCATGTACAGTATATATACCAATGATTTCTTGAACAAATTCCTTTGCTGGTGGTATACCATAAAAAAATAAGAATTTGCTCTTTATATAAAACAACATTTTGGGGTTATTGAAACTTACAATTAAGAATTTGACTTTTGCCTTTTTTTGTGTGTGGAACCAGGGATCAAACTCAGGACCTTGAGCTTGCCAGGCAGGTGTGGTGCATCCCTGGCCCCCCTAAGTTAATTTCTAATGCCTTTTAAATACAAAGTCAGCATTTAGTATTGCTTTTTGTTTAATATTTGACATCAATGGTATATTCATGGACATGACATGATGAAGACACACTTACCAGATCCCATAAGGGCACAGGTCAGGACCATGGAATTGTATTTTATTTCAGGAGCACTTCTTTCATCTGCTAGCAGTCTGTGTAAAATCTGTACAAGCTTAGCACTTTCTAGATCTTTCTCAGCTGTGCCTAGGATATGAAACAAAGTTTAAGCTATATTTACTGTGGGTAAACACAGTACTATCAGGCTAACCATTTCTAGAAACTTAGGTGAAATCTTCTAAAAGAAACCAAGAGATAATATCAAATTCACACTCTGAAAAGAATAGACAACTAGATTTCAGTAGACATTTCTAGAGTTTAGGGTTAGCAACACTAAAACATTCTGTTTACTATCTCCATCATCATGACCAATCTTGTTTCATCCACTTACTCTCATCACTCTCCCAAATTTTTGGAGGAAATCCTATATATAAATCATTTAATTTCTTCCACATATATTTCAGTATGTTTTTTTTTTTTGGTACCAGGGATCGAACTCAGGACCTTGCACACCTTGCAGGCACTTGAACCACTGACCTTAATCCCTGGCCCTCAGTATGTATTTTAACAATTGAGAACTCAGTGGAATTAAAATCCCATAAAGATTTTCCACTGAAAAGACATACTTATTATTAAAATTTATATGGAAAACCTCAGGCCTTAGCATGCCTAAAACAATCTTGAAAAAGAAGAATAAAGTGGAAGAAAACTTTCTACCCAATACTAAGGCGTATAGTAACCAAATAGTGTGGTATTACTGATGAAGAAATAGAGAAATACACAGATCAAAGAAACTGAAAAGAGAACACAGAAATAGACCCATACATATATGCTCAACTGATTTTGATAATGGTACAAACTCAATAGAGTAAAGACAGCTTTTCCAAAAAAACAGTGCTAGCTAGAGGAATTAGACACCCACAGCTTGGATGTGCACTGACCCCACAAGAACCCTGACCTAATTATAGCTCATCCAGATATTAGATATTAACTCAAAATGGATCATAGACTTACATATAAAATGCAAAACTATTTTAGAATAAAGAATTCTCAAGACTCAACAGTTAAAAGACAAACTAGAGGGCTGGGGATTTAGCTCAGTTGTTCTGCTGCCTGCTTTGCAAGCACAAGGTCCCAAGTTCGATCCCCAGCACCAAAAAAAAGACAAATTAGAAAATGGGCAAAAGACATTCATAGGAATTTCACCAAAGAATATATATGGCACATAAGTGCATTAAAAAATGTTCAGTTTCATTAGCCATTAAGGAAATGGTAATTAAAACCACAAAAAGATCGCAAAGTAGCTCTCAGAACAGCTAAAAAAATAGTGACAATATAAAATACTGGTGAAGATGAAGAGAAAACGGGACCATTCATTTAGTGTTGGTGGGAATGTAAAATGGTACACCCATTTGTAAGAATTTGACAGTTTCTTTAAAAACTAAACATGTAGCTACCATATGACCCAGGAATTATTCACACCATTTATCCAAAAAGATGATCACTTATGTTCATACAAAGACCTACCTGTTCTCAAATATTCATAGCAGCTTTTTAATTTTTAAAGCCCCAAACTGGAATTAGCCCAGATGGTGGCTAGTTAAACAAACCAGTACATAAATACCACGAAATTCTACACAAAGGCATGAACTACTGATAAACACAAAAAATTAGATGACTCTTGGAATTATGCAGCAGGAAAACAGAACAACTCCCCAAAAGTAACATAATTTATCATCTAATTTGTAACCTTCTTTAAATGACAACTTTAGTAATGAAAGGCAGGTTAGAGATTTCTGGGATTAGAGGCAGAGTTGAAGATATGGGCTATGGTAACAAAGGCCCCTTATTCCAACTGCACATGAAACTATGTTTTAAAGAGAAAGTCTTTAAAATGTGATTTTAATACTATATACAAATATTTATAATACTTTCTTAATAAGTCTAACATCTTGTAAGGATACAAGACTCGTTACAGTTTTCAAAGCATGTTATGTGTTGTATCTCAGGCTTAAAGAACCCAAGACAAAGTAGGTAACAATAGAAATATGGCATGTATTTACATAGTTCTATGGTTAAGGTGACCATAAAGAACCAAGCAACTGCTCAGCTATCAGGAAGCTAATGAAACTGCAGCTTGTTTGGAAGTTATTACTTAGGGTACAAAACCAGATTCATCCTATGCTCAGTAATCAAAGATATCTTTAAATGCTCCATCACTTTGAGCTGATAGGTCATTTGCCCAGTTTGACATGACATGGACTCACTGACTCCAACCCTTTTTGAGGCCTCTCCACTCAAAGGTGTCTGGACTTTTATATAGACTCATATATCCACTTAAACCATGTGACACTAAGTGAGGACCTCCAAAGTGTCCTTAACCATAGAAAAAAATCTCTGAGAGTAAGCATAAATAAATGTTCCTGAAGTCCTGTATGTTATCTTTAAAACCCAAGCAATTTTACATCCCATATATAACATGGCTATAATTTTTAAAAATAATTATGAATTGCTTAAACATTTAAAGCCCTTTACAAAGATGAAAACAATGTTTTTATACTTAAAACTGGAGTAAATCACACTGGAGGAAGAGACACCATGTTTGTGTATGTGTGTTTTGTTTCTCCTTCCTGAGACTGGAATGGGTGGGTCTGCTTACCTCAGTGTGAGAATAACAGATATAAATTATCAGAAGGGATTAAGAGGTGATGAGTTAACAGTATTTCCCCAGCTGGCCTTGAACTTCACAGAATATACCTACTAAGTCCATAGTCTTCCTGTGAGTAAAGCAGCCATAGGCCTTAACTATGGGCTACATGGCTCTAATGCACTGTATCAGGATTGGTTCCTGAGCCAAAGGTTGCTACCCATACAGTAGGTATATATGAGCCAGCTTCTCAGGGAGAATTCTGCCCATAGGTGAGCTGTATGCTAGAAAGAAACTAATACAATCATTTAGACTCTTCTTTTGGGGAGTTCTAAATATCAAATACAAAGAAGATGAAAATTTAGAGTGAGGGCAATACTACAAAGCAATAGAAACCATAGTGATAGAGAAGATTACCAGGAGAGTTAGTAGAACCAATAGGGACTAAAGGAAAAAAATCTCAGTCACAGAAGGAGTAGGGAATTTTATCTCAAGTATTTTCCATGAGGGCTGCTGAAAATATTTTCCATATTCTCTAAGTAGCTATAACCTTAGATAATACTTATAAGTTAGACCAATCTTGAAGCACTGTCCTAAAATGTTACCAAAAGGACAACCAAAATAAATAACTATGGTAACAACCTATATAAGATGACAGAAATACCAACACATTGCTTCCACTGAATGTTTCTATTCAACATCTGACTTCACATCTCTTATGCTTCCTCCATCCAAGATTAAAAATAGTAGAAAATAAGTTTGTCACTGAAGTACTTACCCAATTCTAAAGCTGCTATTAATGCCAAAGCAACAAGGGCTTCATTCTGCATTATTACATGTTCACTAGTTGCCATGGTAACTAGATGCTTGATGCCACCACTCTGTACAATGGCTTTAATTACATCCTACAATAAATAAATATCACAGAATCATAAAATTTAATTCTAAATACAAAGAAACTGCATTATAATCAGTCAATTCATTGTTAGGTTGAGTGGTTTTGTGACAGTGTCCAGTATCAATCATTACATTTTAACCATAAGTTTTTTCTTCACAGAAAGAAAGGAAAAGGCTTTTACCTTTAAATAAATTCATCAAAAGATGACAACTGGGCTGGGGATTTAGCTCAGTGGTTCCACAGCTTGTCTTGCAAGTGCAAGGTCCCGAGTTCAATCCCCGGTACCATAAAAACAAAAAAATCCCAACCAAACAAAAAAGATGACAACTTACACTGTGTAAGTGAAAAAGACCACTGCAATTCATTTGGAGTAAGAGAGGCCTAACAGCTATCAAAGGCAAAGAAATAAAAGCACCACTGCCCTGAATATTGACCTACCTGAGGGTCAACAAAAGAAGAGACTTAGAATTACAAACAAACAAACAAAAAAGTTCTAACATTTTTATGAGAGTGCCAGATGCTCTGGGTACAGTTTTTATAAACCGTACTTTTAAAAGTACCTTTTGCCCCTTGGTTCACTCTGATAAATATGAGAACTGGATTGCATGCCAAAGGACTGAGCAGAACTTCAATCCAAATTCTCTTTCTACCCCCGTTTCTCATGCTGACCAGCGTTGCCCTTTGAGCAGAAGAGATAGTGAGCTTGGGCTAAATGAATCCCAGCACTAACACTGACTTTACGAAAACCACTAAGTCTCTATTATCTCTGTGACTTCATCTGTGCCACTGGAATGATGTAAGTATACAACTGATAAAGTTATTATACAGAAGGCACATATAAGGATATCATGAAAAAGTTAGATTGAAAAAACAAAATAAAACACCCAAACATTTCCAGTAACCATACTGTTTTTACTCCATTGAGGGTTTTGTTAACATAGAACTCAGATTAAATATGATTTAGAGGGAATTTTCAAATTTAGAAAACTTTAAAAGTAATATCTTTATTAAATTTTTGCTACTTTTAGTAATGTGAAGCTCTAGATATTATAAGAAATACCCTGTTTAAACTAGTTTCAATGGTACAAAAGTAACTGTAATTATAAATATTTTTCAAATTAAGTTGATAAGTATTTGAAAAAGAATTTCTTTTATGCTTCCATCTTATGTGTATTTTAAGATTTACAGAAAATATCTTTGCTTTGAGCTCAAACTTTAGTGAAATCAGTGGAGTCTAAGAATTGAGTGTTTATGATAACTGAGTTCTGGCATTTATTAAGTCTTTTCCCATTAACTTCTTAGAAAAGTAAGAAACTGTCTTTTAAACCCTTTTCTAACCTGATTCACTGCTTACCTGGTGACAGTTTATTTCAATCTGATATATAATTCTTAAAATTATTTTATAAAAGTCACAAAATATCTTACTGTATAAAGAACATAAGACATTATGGATGCACAGGAAAGGTCCTTGGACTGTCATTTCATCCTCTATTGTTCAATTCACCCTGAAAGTCCACTGTAGTAGAAGAGCAGGGAATGGACGAAGGAAGTTTGTACATCAGAAATGAATAGTCCCTCCTTTAAATCCAAGCATAGCTTGTTTTTCATTGCTATTCCCAGAACATATTTGAATATTTTCTCTTAAAATACCTGTCCTCTCTCCAACTATTTCAATTTCTCTGACGAATATGGGAAATAAAAGAAATAAAAGTATTGTACTTGTGTGATATGATGGAGAAGAGTAATACTGATGGCTACCCTCTGGAGAACAATTTTATGCTGGACATTGTATTGGGAAGCTTACAGATATTAGTTCACTTTTATTCTGCAGAAAAATCTCATGAGCTAAATATTGTCTCCAGTTTATGGATGAAGAAGTTGAATCTCAGATTAACCTACAGTGAGTGATTAAGGGTAAAACCAAGGTTCAAATCCTCTAAGTATGGTGACGAGGTCCTTGTTCTAATTAACTTGTGGCCAATGGAAAAGTATTGGCACTAAAATTCATATTGCCTTGCATGGCCAGTTAGTTAATGTGATGTGAAGAGGACCTATGAATATATTTTCAAGTTATATTTTACCTTCAACATATTTTTAAAAAAGTGAAAAACAGAGTTCTTCACCAGTTCATAGAGCAAGAAAGTTCATCTGGTAAATTACAAGTAATTTAAATAAACTTCAAAAGTGAATCCAGGGATCATTTTAGCTTCTGTTAGACCATTTAATTTACAATAAGTAAGCTGTAGATATATATATAATCGAAGTTTTTTAGGAAGTCCTAGATGTGGATATGTCAGCAAAGTCTCTAGAAAGTTGTAGATGTTTTACAAAGTTTGAAACAGTATTGGTATATATAAAACCAAAGCAAATGACCTATGCTAATAATTTGGTCAGTTTGGTCAACTTGTTCCTGATTACTGAAACAAGCTTAGTTCAAGACTTTGTTAAAAGCTATATAATAATAAGGGGTGGATTACAACAGAATATTCTAAGATAGTTCTGGACTTGAGATCATCAATTAATTAAGACTGAAAGTTGGCATAACCACTGAGTCACCTAAAATTTTTTTTCCCTATTGTATCATCAAAGTCCTCTCAATATGGGATTTAAATAAATGTTTCTTGGATGAATGAGCAAATAACTATGTTTAAGTGGGTTTTTAGCTTAATAACTGAAGAAGAATTTATATTCTTAAAGGGTAAAGAAAAGTACCAACTTCATAGGCAGAGATTTTATAGTCCTAGTGTAAAGTAAAACTTATTTTATTTCCTGTTTTTGCTATCTGCAGCTGCAAACATCTAGTTAGCTAGCCCAGGACACTTTCAAGGGAAGCTGTATTTACCTAAAGGCACATAACAGGAATATTCTGCATATGGGTGAGATGACTAAGGAGTGTGAAACATCGTGAGTTAGTGTAGACTTTGAACAGCTGAATTTTAAAAGAGAATTCAGGGTGATTTTAAAAGGAATGTGATCTTCAAAGTTTAAGAATTGAACACGGGGTCGCACAGAACACGCCGAATCAGCCCGCTGCAGACTGGCAGGTCTGCCCATGCCCTACTGAGGTCCCCAGTCCCACAGAATACGCCGAATCAGCCCACTGCACACAGGAAGGTCTGTGCACGCCCCACCCAGGTCCTGAGTCACACAGAAGACACCGAATCACCGTGCTGCAGACAGGCAGCCACCTGGTTCCATACTACAAAGACGCAGAGGACACCAGACCACCAGACCAAGGTACCGAGTCCCGCTGTTCCCGCCCCAGAGGTAGGGGCTTCTGAGCCATCCTCCCACTGCTCCTGGTCCAGAGGACGGGGCGTCCCAGTTACCATCCCTCCCGCTGCTCCCAGCCCAGAGGAAAGGGCTTTTGGGCTACCTTCTGTCCCGCTGCTTCTGGCCCAGAGGAAGGGGGTTCCAGGCCACCATCCCTCCCACCACTCCCGGCCCAGAGGGAAGGGCTTCTGAGCCACCATCCCACTGCTCCTGGTTCAGAGGAAGGGGCTTCCCGGCCACCATTCCTCCTGCTGCTCTCAGCCCACAGGAAAGAGCTTTTGGGTCACCATCCCTACCTGCTCCCGGCCCCTGTCCCACCTCATCCAGCTCAGAGGAGGTAATCCATGCAGATGCTAACAGCCCCCCGTCCCAGTCGAAATGAGAAAACACGTAAATAAGTCTCAAACCAGACTTCCAGATCACCTACAGCAGCCCCAAAGGGAAATGAGATGGAACACTCTGATACTCAACCACCTGGACCCACTGAACACTGGCAACAAAAGGGGATCTGG